GCACATTCAAAGCAATATAGGAATTGAAACAGTTTGGCTTTTGAAACTTGGATTTCTCAAATTATGTTTGGCACAAAGAAAGAGGAACTGAAATTCATCCATCAGTTGAAATACATAAGAAATGGGAAGGGATAGCTTTTTTGTTATAAATCCTTTTTCTTTCTAAAGCAATTGTTAACAAAGAGTTTCACATCTTAAGATGTCTCAGATCACATAGTGAGCAGCATAGATTTTTTTACCATTTTCTTAAATTATCTGAAAACCTTTCCAACCTTTATATACATCAACACTCTGCCATAATAGAAATTTTACTACTGAGAATAATTATAGTGCAAATGCTTCTTCTTCCTTGAAATAAACCATCTTTAAAACAGCAATTTATGATTTTATAATACAGTGGGCTATTGCAGTTGGGAGTACAGTAGTGTATATATGTTAATCTGTCACCACAATAATTAGTTCTTGAAGAATAAGTGGTATACCTGAATAGAATGCAATCCACATAAGGCATACAACCATCAGCCTTCATTTCTGGCAAGAGGAACAAATAACATGACAAATTTTGAACATTAGAAGATCGAGTAGTGAAACAAGAAATTCAATGTACTTGAAACTTGTGTCAAAAAATAACCAAGCACTGCAGTTTCAAAAACCTACTGGTGGAATCTACTAGTAGATCTGAAAGAAATTTGCAGTAGGTAATTTCTTATTTTGAAAGTCTAACAAAAGCGAAAACTAATGGTTTTTTTTTCTAAATTAGAAATATAAAAGAAATTGGAGCATTTATCCATTAAAGAACTTTTAAAAATTTAAATATGGTATCGACCATAAATTTCAGAGCATTACATGTATTCAAAGAGCCCAAGGCTAAGCCACATTTTTTCTAACCCCTTTCAATGGATAATAGGGTTTTAGTAAGTAAATTCACAATTTAAACACAATTTAAGAGAAAATCTCTTAAAACTGATTCTGCCTAAGGTTCTAGCATTATTTCTAGTGTAACAAATACCTGAAAGTCTGTTTGTATCCTGACAAAGTTGCAAACAAAATGGCAAGGCCTCAGCTAACAGCTACAAATATTTATCATTACATATGAATACTGAAAATCTCAGAAATCATTTTACAAATCAAATTTTACATACTAAAATTCAGTCACAATTATCTCCATTTGTGTTGCCAGAGCCATCACTTTGGCAACACAAATGGCCCATCACTTTGTTATCAGATTTAAGATAGCTAAAAGTGGAAAATGCTTCCAACAATTGGAGTAAATATTTCTTAATACTGATAATCCTATCTAAACAGTAACAGTCATTTGGAAGAAGATCAAGTGGCATGTAATGTGACATTTTCCTAATGTGACATTAGGATACATGTCACAAATGATAACAGTTCAGGCTATTTCTAATTCTGTTCATATTTTCTTATTTTTTTCTAGAGATGGCCTCCCAGAGACCAGGGGTGTCAAACTGGCAGCCCATGGGCCAGATACATCATGTTCAAGCCATGCCACCTCAGCTCTGTGAAGGGAAAAAACATCACGAAACGTCATGTGACGGCAATGTGATACCATGAGTTTGACTTCTGTGACAGAGACCAATCTCTATTTCTGCTTTTGACTTTAGAAAACTAATAGCTCTGAGACTAATTTTTCTGATCACAAAACTAGCTTTTTTCCAACAGCACAGAACCCCAAAATGGGCTTCCAGGACATTTGATACAATATCCCTCCAAACACTGCCATTCGAACTATTATTAACTCTATCCTACTCTTGAACCTGATGTAGATAGAGTACAATTCTATGCATATAACAACCAAATGAAGAAGGGAGATGAAAACATTTCTTCTTCTTTTATTGCCTTATGCTAAAGGTTAGCAGAGAGTATTGGGGTTCTTGGAGATTCCAACTTTACAAGAATTCCATTGTAAAAGAACAAAAGGATTGTCTAGTTTATTTTGGAAAAATGCTACATGTATTATTTCATGCTTTCATAACAGGTTTAGCACCATGTAATCATTACCCCCAGGCTGCCATCACATGTTTAAAATGTAAAGCCTTCTTTTGAGCTTGATTCTTGCATCTCCGTGTCATTTTCTTGGCAAAAGCACAAAAGCGATTAGGAAATATAATTTACAAATATTTCCTATGTCTTTGGAAATAAGGGAACACATTTTTGGAGAGACTATATTAAAGTAATGGTAAACATTCAAGAAACATTTGTTTTTCAAATGTTTACCATTACTTTAACATTTGCTTCTCAAATGTTTACCATTACTTTAACATTTGTTTCTCGAATGCTTACCATAGCTTTAATATAGTCCCTCCAGAAAATGTGTTCCCTTATTTCCAAAGACATAGGAAATATTTGTAAATTATATTTCATAATGGGTAGAGGAAATTGCTTTATTGTTTTTAAGAAACTAAGCTATCCAATATGATTCTTGCATTTAAACATTCTGCAGATGGAAAGGAGTAATTTGTCCCTGGTTGAAAATCCTAGCAGCTTCTGTAAATTATGTAACCAAAGCAATGTGTGTGGGAAGTGTGAATTGCCATAGTGGTTACCTTATCTCTTCTTATGCAAGGTGATTTAGACTCAACTTCCTACTCTACTAATTAAAGCCATGTATCCAATCCAACATGTCACTTTAATGCTGTTCCTTGAACTATAAAGTGTTCTTGGTAACAGATCAGCAGAGAATCTATTTCCAGGTATGGACAATAAGTGTGTGTTCTCTACCCATTCAATAGTTGCTTACAGAAGTAGATGATGTAGAAGAATGTACTGGTGACTAATCTTTTCATATCTTTATAGCTACAGTTTGTTTATTTACGTGTGCCTTCTTTATTATAACCAAATTAACTTTATTAATTTCCTGCTTTCCACTCAAAGCATCATATGCAGAAGCTTTATTCATGAGAGCAATTCATCATGAATATTTGGATTGAGCAAACATGTTACAAGAACAGTAAAAGAGTTGGAAGGGACCTTGGAGGTCATCTAGTCCAACCCCCTGCTCCCGCAGGAGACCTGTACTAGGGATTCGAACCACCAAACTGCCGACCTTTCTGATCTACAAGCTCAGTATCTTAGCTACTGAGCCACCTGGTCAGGCGTCTTATACTAGGACTGAGACCTGATAATAGTCCCAATCCCAATGTTTTAACCATTATAGTGTTTAATAATATAGTATAATTAGACAATGTATGTATGAATGAAAAATCTGATATCCACTATCTATTATAACTCTTCCTAACAGTTTGGAGCAATGACCGAAAACATAATTCTGCATCCGTTAGCTCAAGCAACCATAGCCAATGATGACAGAAAATACCAGTTGCACACACTATCTGATGAGTTTTATCCCATTTAGCTCTAATGTATTAAATTTCTATGCAACAGAAAACTGAGGAATAATCATGTTCATTGTTCAAGATTTCACAGAGATCTTGTTTCTCTTCTTGCTCACTTCCTATGCATGCATTTCTCTTCTCCTTTCAGAATGATATTTTTTACATTTGCATTGCTGGCATATAAAGCTTATGCTAGTTAGCTTTATCTAGAATTGCATATCATCTTGAAATTCCAGCCTACTTATATGATATACAGATTAAATATAATAGGGATAGGGCACTGTGAGTGATGTATCTGTGCTACATGTACACATGAAACATTTAATCTATATGCTTTGTTGTTTGTTTTTAAAGCATTAAAAGCATGCCTGAATTTTATATTTAGAGATCCCCTTTCCATGAATGTGTAGGAGACATCCAATTTTTTCAGATCTCTGTATAGAACCCACATGTGCAGTTTATCTGACAAAATTCAAGGACTTGGAAAAGAATTCAATAATTAATTGGTTGCTTTTGTGTGTGTCTTCCTGATTCCCCTGCCCCCCCCCCAATATTGTCATATGCCAGTCCTGCTCATCAACCTTTTGCTGCTTTGGTAAGGTTTCATCACCATCTCAGCTCTTCCTTGAATCATTTTTCTCCTAGTAATAGCTGTTATTTGCATTAATTGCACATATTGGCATTACCAGCCAAGTCTTTCAGAGACAAACCTAAGATAGCATTAGTCTCCTGGACCAAGTTAAAAAAAATCTATTCTGGGTTAGTAATAATAAACCTTTGACAATGAGAAAATATTTATACATTCATTAATATCCACACTTTAATATATAAACAAGTGTTTGCTTTAAATGCCAAAGAATCCCAGTTACATCCTTATAATTTTACAAGGTCCTCCACCAGCAGTCAAGAGTATGGAACAACAAGACTAATAGAAAATTTAGTTTAACCAAGAATTTTTCTTTTCACCAAGAAATTAATATGGAAGTTGAAGTGTAGATATAAGCACCCTTTCCTGGACAAGAGTAGTTTCTAAAATTGATCCTGCTGATCACACCTACTTCTTAAGCATGTGGAATAGAATAGAATAGAATAGAATAGAATAGAATAGAATAGAATAGAAATAGAATAGAATAGATAGAATAGAATAGAATAGAATAGAATAGAATAGAATAGAATAGAATTCTTTATTGGCCAAGTGTGATTGGATACACAAGGAATTTGTCTTGGTGCATATGCTCTCGGAGTACGTAAAAGAAAAAATACATTCGTCAAGGATCATAGGTACAACACTTAATAATAGTCATAGGGAAACAGTCAATATAAGCCTTAAGGATACCAGCAACAAGGTTACAGTCATACAGTCATAAGTGGGAGGAGATGGGTGATAGGAACGATGAGATTAATAGTAATGCAGACTTAGTAACTAGTTTAACAGTGTTGAGGGAATTATTTGTTTAGCAGAGTGATGACATTCGGGAAAAACCTGTTCGTGTATTTAGTTGTTCTGGTGTGCAGTGCTCTATAGCATCATTTTGATGGTAGGAGTTGAAACAGTTTATGTCCAGGATGTGAGGGGTGTGTAAATATTTTCACAGCCCTCTTTTTGACTCATGTAGCATACAGGTCCTCAATGAAAGCCAGGTTGGTAGTAATTGTTTTTTCTGCAGTTCTAATTATCCTCTGAAGTCTGTGTCTGTCTTGTTGGGTTGCAGAACCAAACCAGACAGTTATAGAGGTGCAGATGACAGAGTCAATAATTCCTCTGTAGAACTGTATCAGCAGCTCTTTGGGCAGTTTGAGCTTTCTGAGTTGGAGCTATCAAGCACTCTGTGAACAAGCACCTATGAATGGAAGGTATTTCAAGTTTTTTCCTATCCCTGCAAATGAGATCAAAATTATTTTAAAAGGCTACAGAGACTCCAGATTGCATTGGCCTACAATTGGTGGCTTGTTTTTCCTTGTTTTATATAAAAGAAAATGACAGTGTAAAACTGTTATTCTTTTGAGATACTTGCCTAAAACATTAATAATATTATAAAGTTGATTCCTATAATTCTATGTTAAGTTTTAAGAGTTTGGCAGGGACTTTCACTGATTTTAGTTATATTAAAAGCTCTAACATGACTCAAGTTTGTTCAGGTAGGTGACCTGAATAATCAGGTGGATATCATAAGTAACACACATTTGGAATATTTTGTAAACATGGAATGGAAATATTTTTGCTGTATTTTGGCTAAAATTCAACATCAATGCTAGACTCTTTTTACGGTAAGTGCCACTTAAACGCCAGAAGACTGCAGAATTTTTCAGCTGGCAGCTGAAACTAGTCTCCGTCAATCCTCCTTCTGAGCATTCATCTTTTTCTTCCTTTCTTAACAATAATACAACACTCTTGAAACATAGTCTGTTCACTGCCAGAATTTGGGATCCAGGCGCCTTTCAACAAAATTGGCTCTTTCGAGTAGACTCCCTGGGCTGACTTTATATTTTGTTTCAAGAGTTGTCAGCTATGCAAATGTCTTTCAATGCTTTAGCAATCCTATTTTCCCTCTATGGGTAAAGTTGTAGCCAAGAGATGTCATATCCCAAAGCATTTTGTCTGAACTGTCAACAGCAGCCATGCTGAATGTCTGTAAAAAGGTATTTTCATTCCCAGCGTAAGCTTTGCAAACAGAATTTTCACCTTGGCTCCTATATTCTCCTTCAGCCTTTGGCAGCAGTTATTCAGACACATTGAACCATCCTGCCATACATATTAGTAGATCTGCCTGTAAAATGAAGTGAATGGATAGAATTTAGCACAGTTTTCAAATATCCAGTAGTAACTTTTAATTCTAGGACTGCTAGTTTACAAAGGACAAAAGCACAATGAGTAATTAAACTTTTATTTAGTTTGCACTTAATTCAATTTCCCCAAAGTGGTGCCTTCCAGAAATGTGGTATGTGGAAAGCAGCTAGCTGAAGAAAATAGTTGCTATCTTTATTTCAGCTAAGAAAATTTCGTGAGATAAAGTTTCACTACTGCTTGGAAAAGTATCATTTGAATGACAGGCCCAAAATATAGGTAATTTTTCATTTTATTTCAAACAGCTTCCTAAATAACCTTTCAAAGTACAATATGTTGTCAAACAGCCTGTAAGATGAATGAAATCCAATTAAATAAGTGAGGTATTTTATCACTGCACCTTTATGGAACAAACCTTATTGCCTTAAAATGGTTGCATGGTACTCACCCATTCATATTCAATTCAAGTTAGGAAGAGCCCAAGCTTCATAGCTATCATCTCTCTCAATGTCAATCCTTGGAGCAGTCCCCAAATGCCACCAAAGCCTATTTACTAAACTGCACATTTTTGAAGTGACAGGAAAATTACTAGGAAGACTGCTGAAAAAGCTGAGGAACTAAACAATACATCTCAATATATTATATATTGGATTTCTTGCAGTCATGTTCACAGAGGTGTAATTGTTGTATACAGAAGCCAGTTAGATATATGCTGGATAGTATGACTGAGGTTTTTGAAATTCCCATTCATCCCTAATAGGACTCTGTGCACCGGAGTTTAAACAAGCATTTACAGAAAATGGCATAAAACTAAATAAGATAAAAACGTATTAAGGAGGGGTGAGTCTCACTTATACACAGCTGGACTTCTAAGTCATATCATTTACAGCACAGTGAGCCATAGAACAGTTCTTGCAAAAATGATATGGTTGGGTCTTCTTGCTAGTCTTTTTGTTTTGTTTTGTTTTTTGACAGCAGCAGCTCTGGAGGAATTTCCAAGGTTAAAGTGTCTTTTTGTCAAACAAGCCAATTTGAAATGACAAGCAAGATTAACAGAAGGCAAACTTCAGAGGCACACTTTTCAGGAAGAGATGCACAAATCTGCCTTGTCTTCACAAGCTCCATTGGAATAGTGCCTACAATTGACTTTTAGCATGGTGATACTTTCATGGAACCATTTTAGACAAAGGCATGGGAAAAGAGTAACATCAGAACTATATAGTGGCATGTTAGAAAATTATAAAAGCTTTCTTTTAATTGCAGATAATAAACAGATGCATCATGATGATGATGATGATGTTATCCATTCAGTCATGTCTGACTCTTGGCAGTTCTATGGGCCAGATCTCTTTACATCTTCTGATCTTGTACTACTTCTTTGAGTTTTTCTAAGGTAGCTGGTGTCAACGGAATTTAAAGTCCATTCCTACCTGCCTAAACACAATTTACTGCTAAATATAAATAACTTTATTGCAGTCATTAACTAGCACAAACTGTGAAGGCGATCTGGCTGCAAATTCTGTCACCCCATTGATCACGCAGGTTGTTTCAGCTGATCTGACTGACTAGGTGGGTATCCCCATCCTCCCTCATTACTCCATGTGCTGGATTAATGGCAGTTGCAAGCTTGATGAAATAGTGTAAGACCACCATCCCAAATTAAAAGTATACTGAGTTCTGATCAAGGGTATACAATAGCTGTACCCTTCTGCTAAAACCTCCAAATAAATTCAAGGTCCATTTGTAGGACAACAGAGGGTATCAAATGTATTTATTTGTTTGTTTATTTTATTTGTATGCCACCTTTATTACTTTCACAAATAACTCAATGTGGCACTCATATCTAATACACCTTCTTCTTCCTATTTTCCCCCACAACAACCCTGTGACATGGATTGGGTTGAGATAGATTGACTGTCCAAAGGTCATCCAGCTGGATTTCATGGCAAAGGCAGGACTTGAATTTATGGTCTCCTGCTTTTTAGTCTTGTGCCTTCACCATTAGACCAAACTGGTTCTTGAAATTATAAACAATGGTAGTAGTGTTATCTTCGTAATATTGGTAGTATGGTGGAAAACTGATTAAACATATGTTTATTAGTAATGTATATAGTAATGTATAGTAATGAATGCCAAAAAAATCTAAAAAGTATAGCTTCACAGATTGCTGGTTCCCAATCTGATTTAAATTGACTTACTATGTTTAACAGAAACAATAGTCTTACAAATGCTGTATCTGGCATAAAATAGTTACATTTGTTAAATGCTGTATTAATGAAAGATAGAAACATAATTAAATGTTGCATCAACATAAGAGGAGGGGCAACCCATCAACACACAGGCATATACAAAGAATAATTATTATTTTGTGAATAAGTTTCCTAGAGAGCATGTATAACTTTTTATAGCTTTGTCAGGTAGACATCTATCCAAAATATTAGAGAAAAGCACATTCTATAATTAGGTGGGTTGAACACTAAAGAAGGGAGCAGTGGCAGACCTAGTTTTCTACCTCTGTTGAAGTTCAGAGAAATATGAGCTAAATGGCCTCTTTCGGGACTTCTGAACTAGTTTGCTACTTCAAATATGATAACAGATGCTATCATATCACAGTTTCTTAAAGTAAGGTTTTTAACTCTTATCCTATCTGACCTTGTACATGGAAGAAGGGGCACTATCTGGTCTGTCACTAAAACAACAAAATACCTTACATTCATGGATTAATCTTGAAGTAGAAATCAATCAAAATCCACATGCTATGTTCCCATATCCACATTCCAGTGGAGCTTTTGCCAGAAGAGTTGTACATGTGGTTCTTAATTTGGTTCACTACATAAGAATAATAACAAGAAACAAATTTGCTCTGTCAGTTTTGTACTTAGAGGACAAACAAGCAAAGAGTGCATAATACATTCTTGGAACAGGACTAATGGAATGGCATAATATCAAGTGACATGGCAGGAGTATTCCAGTATTTGAGGAGCTGCCATAAAGAAGAGAAGATCAACTTATTTTCCAAAGCACCAGAAGACAAGTCAAGAAACAATGGATGGAAACTAACCAAGGAGACAAGCAACCTGGAATTAAGGAGAAACTTCCTAACAGTAAGGACAATTAATCAGTGGAACAGCTTGCCTTCAGAAGTTGTAGGTGCTTCATCACTGAAGGTTTTTAAGAAAAGACTGGACAGCCCCTTTTTGAAATGGTATAGGATCTCCTGCTTGAGGAATGGGTTGAACTAGAAGACTTCCAACGTCCCTTCCAGCTTTATTCTGATTGATTGATGCAAATATCAGATATCTGATATTCATTTAGATTAAAATTTTTGATCCTTCCAAACAAACTAGTCCTGGATATTTTATGGCCCACAGACCAATCTGGCCCACAGGTGGTTCCACTCATTATTGGGTAAGGGGCAGTGTTGGGTGTAAAGGCATAACATCAGCATTGGGATAGCGGCAGCAGCAGCCCTCCGCAACAGTCCCAATTTCTTATGTGACCCCTTGGGAAAATTAATTGCCCACCCTTGGTATAAATATCTTCCACTGAATCCTCCTCCATTTTCTGCATTTGGTATCAAGATTTCAACATTTACACCTCAATAATATTTCCAGAGATTGATTGTCAATTTTTAATTTGAAGGGTGCAAGGGGAAAGAATATGCAGGGAACATTAATTTTTGCTGAGAAATTTACTAATAAATATAGGAAGTTGCTCAGGGGCGGGTCTAAATTTTTTTACTACTGGTTCTGTGGGCATGGCTTATTTTGTGGACATGGCTTGGTAGGGGTAATGTGGCTGGGTGGGCTTGGCCAACTTTTTTTTTTTAACTTTTAAAATAATTTTTTCTACAACCTTAAGAGGTTGCAAAAAAAATGCTTTTAGGAACCTCTGACGATCAGGCAACTCAGCTGGGATTGCCAGAGGCTTTTAAAGGCATTTTTTTTTCTACAACTTCTTCAGCTGAAGAGGTTGCAGAAAAAAATGCTTTCAGAATCCTCTGACGATCCTAGCTGAGCCGCGTGATAATCAGAGGCTTTCTTTTAAAACTTTTAAAAGCATTTTTTTCGGACGAAGAGGTTACAGAAAAAATGCTTTTAAAAGTAAAAAACAAAAAAAGCCTCTGATGAGGTGGGCGGGGTAAGCGAGCAGTGACCGGACTGGGTACCGGTTCTGGGGTGTGGTCAGCCAATATTATTACTGGTTCTCCAAACTACTACAAATTTTTACTACCGGTTCTTGAGAACCGGTGAGAACCGGGAGCAACCCACCACTGAAGTTGCTCCTTAAATATTTTCTACAATTTTATATCCAATAAAATTCCATAAAGGCATCAAAGAAATAGAACAAAGAACAAATCTCTCATGCAAATTTGAGTGAATGGATACAACCAGTGGTGGGATTCAATTTTTTTAACAATTGGTTCTGTGGGCGTGGCTTAGTTGGGGCTGTGGCTTGGTGGTCATGTGACTGGGTGGGTGTGGCTAGCTGGTCATGTGACTGGGTGGGTATGGCTAGCTGGGCATGTGACCGGTGGGCATGGCTATCTGCATAGGGACTACAGAGGGCTGAAAAAAGTCATTTCTGATTGGTCCTCGCACTTATGACCATCCTCACATTTATGCCCGTTGCAGCATTCTTAACAACCGTGTTACTCATTTCACAACTGCTTCTCTTCATCATGGTGACAAGATAGGGCAAAAACGTAAAATGTGAGGACAGTCGTAAGTTCGAGGACTGGTCAAAAGTACGAGGACCAGTCAAAAATAACTTTTTCAGCCCTCTGAGTAGTCCATATGCACAAAAGGACTACCCAGAGGGCTGAAAAAAGTGATTTCTGACAGGTTCTTGAACTTTTGACCGGTCTTTGCACTTATGACTGGTCATCATTTATGCCCATTGTAGCACTCTTAACGACCATGTCACTCATTTCACAACTGCTTCTCTTCACCATGGTGACAAGATAGGACAAAAACATAAAATGTGAAGACAGTCGTAAGTTTGAGGACTGGTCAAAAGTGCGAGGACCAGTCAGAAATAACTTTTTCAGCCCTCTGAGTAGTCCATATGCATAAAAGGATACAGCAATAGAGAGGGATGAAGGAAGAGAAGGGAAATTAGAGTAGGAGGGAGGGTAAGAGAGGGAGGAAGAGAGGAGGAGAAGGAGAAAGGAAGAAGAAGTAGGGAGGAAAAGAAGACGGGGAGGAAGAGAAAGTAAGAAGGAAAGAAAAGAGAGAGGTGATAGGTTTGAGAAGAAAGATTGCTGTACAATAAAAAAGATGAAAGGGAAGAAAGCCAACCCCAAACAAATATAAAGATATTAAGTTAAAGAATGAATTGTTAAACTTTAAAGAATAAAAGAGAACAAATATGAATAAATAACAATAATTAGAAGCACACATACAAACATACAATGTATTTTCTTTGAACAGAGTATTTGGCCGGTTCACAAATGTAAACAGTGTTTAGTCATTTCAATTAAATTTACAATTTCTATATTTCCTTTTTGCCATATTTATTCCTCATCTATTTTTGTAAAAAACCAATATTACCCTTCATCCTCATCTCTAATCTTAATCAAATTCAATTTTTCCCTTCTATTCTATACTATACCCCTTCCCATTGTCATCTATTTTTATATCCATCCTCACATTGGTTAATTATGTAATATTATAGTTGTTTAATATAAATTCAACATTTTAATATAAATCAATTAGTTATATAACTACCTTTTTTGTATATTAATCAATATGAACATGAATATTCCAATTATTTCCATGCAATCAAATTTCTTACAAATCAATTAATTATATTTACCAATAATAATAAACCAAATAATTTCCCCCATATATTCCTCCAAACCACAACTTAACCATTTCTGCATTCAAACAATATACAATTAATAGTATCTCAATTATTACAATTCCCTAGTTAAATAGAGTTTTTTTTCTTTTGTGTTTTAAAATCTTGAACTCTCCTCTTTTTCCCTAAATTTCCCATTGTTTGCACCTACCTTTTTTGGTGAGAAAAAAGAAAAGAAATCTGCCTGCCTAATTTTCCAACGTTGCAGCAACAGCAAAACCAACAGCCTGCTTTACTTTCAGTTTCGTTTTTCAGCATAGCTAGGGGGGAAAAATCTGCTCCAGCAAGCAGCAGAGCCCTGAGCAAAACAGCTGAGAGCAAATCAGCTGAGAGTCGGGAGCCGATCTAATCAAGGGCTAATTAGCCTATGCTGAAGCTCCACGGGCCAATAAAATTACAGAAAAACACCGAACCGTTTGTTAA